AAACCACAGGGTTACAAAAAACCAATGGATTTCGTCAAGGTCTATTGCACTGATAGATTCTCGCAAACTCATCCCATCAGGTTTTGAATACGATGAAGAGCGTAAAGAAATCAAATCTAGATTAAGCAAAAGTCTAAAGAATGATCGTGAGCAGTGGTGGGCAACGAAAGCAAAAGAGATGGAAAAGGCGGCGGCTATAGGGAATACAAGACAACTCTACAGACTAATAAAAGAAACTGGAATTAATAAATCAAGTGTAAGTCAGACCATTTCGGAAAAAGACGACACTCTCATCTGCTCCCAGTCCAGACGCTTAGAACGATGGGCGGAACACTTTAAGGAGCAGTTTAGCTGGCCTTCAGCTACTCTACAACTACCCTCTATTCCCAGACAGTGTGAATGGAACATTGAAGTAGGTCCCCCAACTCTAGCTGAAGTTCAAAAGGCTATAGCTAATCTGAAACGAGGAAGGGCAGCTGGTCCAGATGGATTGGCCCCAGAGGTCTTTAAGGATGGTGGTCTAGTCTTAGCGATTAGGTTGACTAATATTTTAGCTAAAATCTGGGAGTTAGACGTTATCCCCTCTGACTGGTCACAATCACTTATCGTCCCAATATATAAGAAAGGGTCAAAATCATCCTGTGACAACCATAGAGGGATTAGTTTGACTAATATAGTATCTAAAATACTAGCTTCGATAATTATCGGACGCCTAACTAAGACTCGTGAACTGCAAACACGTGAAAATCAGGCTGGCTTCAGACCTGGTCATGGCTGCATCGACCACATATTCACCATTCGTCAGGTTCTAGAACACAGGCATACTTATCGGCGTCCGACAATGGTGGTATTCCTTGACTTAAAAGCAGCGTTTGACTCTGTTGACCGAGAGGTTCTGTGGCAGTGTCTGTCATTGAAAGGCGTACCTCAGAAGTACATAAACCTTGTGAAGGCTCTTTACTCGAACACTACTAGTCGGGTCAGAGCCTATGGCGAACTGTCATCTGCTTTTGCAACCTCAAGTGGCGTCCGTCAAGGCTGTCCACTTTCTCCTTTTTTGTTTAACTTTATCATAGACATCCTGATGGAAATAACGCTCTCATCGACTGACTTCTCGGGTATTGATCTCCTACCAGGAGGTCCACTTATTGACTTAGAATACGCAGATGACATAGTCCTGTTTGGTGAAGACGCTGATGAAATGCAGAGTATTTTGGTAGCACTGAGCAACAATGCTAGAATGTTTGGGATGCGTTTTTCTCCCCCTAAATGCAAGTTGTTGCTTCAGGACTGGTCTGCATCAACAACTGAACTAAGGATAGGGGGTGAAGTAGTCGAACGCGTTGACAACTTCACTTATCTTGGAAGTCTGATCAGCCCTAATGGGTTGGTGTCTGACGAAATCTCAGCACGGATTCGAAAAGCTCGCTTGGCCTTTGCCAACTTACGTCACCTATGGCGAAGGCGAGATATCCGTCTATCAATTAAGGGACGAGTATACTGCGCGGCAGTTCGTTCCGTCCTTCTATACGGCTGCGAAACATGGCCTTTAAGAGTGGAAGATATTCGTAAGTTACTAGTATTTGACCACAGGTGCCTTAGAAATATTGCGGGTATCTGCTGGGATCACCGGGTAAGTAATAGTGAGGTTAGACGCAGAGTATTAGGGAATGATGGTAAATCAGTTGATGAGGTTATGAATCTTCATCGACTGAGATGGTTGGGCCACGTGTTGCGTATGCCTGAACACCGATTACCACGACGCGCGATGCTGACTAGTGCAGGGGATAATTGGAAGAAAGTTAGGGGCGGCCAAACCAAAACGTGGCATCAGTGCTTGAAGTCACTAACTTCTGGTCTGAGCCATGTTGGGAGATTCAGACTGCCTGGTTGGGGTCCGCGTGACTATCGTAACCAATGGTTGGAGACTCTTGGTGACATGGCTCAGAATCGATCACAATGGCGTCGGTGTATACACTCTCTGTCTTCCTTAAATTAAGAGATTAAAATCGCTTCATATCTGTCTAGGAACTAATTCTTTCTTCCTTTACTATCTCCTTATACACAATCTTTCTTCTATATATTACCACCACTGAATTAACTACTCCTATGAATCCGGTGTTCATCTTGTTGTGCTAATGCGGTATGGCAACTTGGACCGATGCATATACGTGCCTGGTCCTACGTTGCAGCTGACTGACTGACTGACAACTATTCTGAACCTCATTTGCCTGTATTCCATGTTTTTTTCTTTCATGAGTTAACTACAATATAACTATACATAATTGAAATAATTTTAATTCATAACTTAGTTCAGTAATTAAACGAAATTTCGAAAACTTAATTTTGATATCCAGATTCATTTCATTTTGAGTGATGAAAGTGTCCGATTATTCAATTTTAAGCAAACGTAGTAGGAGCTGGAAGCCCATTGATGACGATAGAAAGTAGCCGAAATAGAAATCATCATTTAAGGTCGTTAGTTAATGAAGTGGACATTTTTCTCACTATAGATTTTGATTCATGCTGCTGCGTAGTCAAAACAAACCTTACTAAACAATCTATTCCGTTAAATTAATCAGTACAAACTATTTAATAAAATTTTCAAGGTGATTTGAGAATAATTAAACCTGTACGTGAATGGTAATATTTTTCCTAAATAATAATTAATTCTTCGTAGTCACAGGGATAACTTCGGTCTTCTGATCCTTCACGAACCAGTGAGGTTTATGGTTCTAATGGTGATGGGCAGGATTCAGTTTGCAGTTATGCTTGTTGTCAGTTGTTGGTGAATTATCAGTGCCCATTCTTTTCGATCATTATATCAAAATCCGTTGAGTTATATCATCCACTGAACTAAAACTCGGTTAATATAATACATACTGATGAATAATATCGACATTATTCCAATGTTCGAATCCCTCTTTCTGTTTACTTCGATTTGAGCAAGCGTGTAAAGCACCACTCTCTAACCGTCATACATGAATTGACTTAATATCAAAGAGAACGATACATGTATTTTGACGATACAATGAACCAAGAGATTGAGACTTTTGTGCTCTGAGTAACCGATTCCTAACTCTAGCTTCAATCACAATAAACAAGACTGCTTGCTGTCCTTTTCCTCTCTGTCCACCTACTAGAAACGGTATTCAAAATTTGTTGACAGAGATCAAAAGAGATTAATCATTCAAATACATTCATTTATATCCAGGTTTAGTCTCTGTGATTATTAATATAAAAGTTTTTTATATTACACGATTTTCACACGAAATTCATTTGTATTAATATATATGAACGCAAAATCATAAAGGATAAGTTAATTAGATAAATATTTTATTATGCAGAAATTACACTGAATCAATATGAAAACCAACTGAATGTAAGTATACTTGAAACCACTACATAATCTTTAACGTAATTTCTTCCACATAATTTTCTATTGGGGCTACGTTTGAAGGGATTGAGATTCACCTGAACCGGCAAAAGAAATGAAAGTCAGCAACACGATAACAAGACAAGCTAACCATTTACTGCATCCCAGCCCTGCTAACTAGAAGGAAAAGAGATTCAGCCAATGTAGAAGTATATTCCACAAGCAGTTGAAAGCACGAACAAACAAGCACACAAGTCAAACGTATATATACAGTATAATAATGTCCTTGGGAAGCGTTACAAAATAGCTTATTCAAGGAGGAAACGAGCAAATGACATTTAAGACCCTTCTATGTGGGATTGTCTACCACTTCAAATTTGGATTGATTGTTTAGCGGAAGTCAATTTTTATGGTATAAATAATTGCATTCAAAATGAACGTTCTCTCCAAATCTCTCATGCACCAAGAAGTTGGCCACAGGTCCCAAGAGTTTTAATATTTATTAATTTATATATAAGCGCGTATAAGCTGGTACAACAGGGCATCAAAAAATAACACAATCTATGAATTATATTGTTGAGAAAAGGGAGTACATTTGAAGTGAAGGAAAAAAGTTGTTAATAGGTGAAACAGTTTGGTTAACAATAAAAACGAGACAATTCAGTTAGAGTAGTGGTGCTCACATTTGAGTATAAAAGAAAATTGCATCATGATCGCCATTGGTTTTTGTTCTGAGCCATGTTTAATAACCCCTCAAGCCGTTGAGTTGCACCATTTATCGGACCCCAACCAGGTCGTCATGATGAGCCGACAGAATCCGGTTCTGTGGAGCATCTTTTGATACTAGGGTGACATGTCATAAAGTGACCACTTCTCTACATTTTCTATACCGTCCTATCGTTGGCAAGTATCGAACGATGTGAAAGTCACTGGGATGCCACTAGTATAACATCCAGGTCAATGAAGTCAATGTTTCAAGATAGTGACACCACTTCAGTTGTTGTCACTCTTCTTGAATACATTATCAAACCTCAGTATTACTAACAATGTTGCCACTTAATATTAGCTTTCTTTCGCAAACAACAATAATCTAACATAGAGAGTTATTTAACATCTTCAACTCGGAGAGACCGTTTTCATCAGGCGTTGAGGAATGCTGCTTTTTCTATTATTTGCAATCCAAATGGTTTTTTTTAAAAAAAACAAGAAATTTGTGATTTTGTGCTAAAAAATCTGCGTAAGCCAAACATGTACCGAATAAAGTTAGTATTCTTATTGTTGTATGAGTGAAAGAAAACAGTGATCGATTGGTTTCCTAGATAAACTGGTAGATAGTCTGACAAGTAATTGTCATATATATTTCTTTTTGTCCGGTACACGTGTAATGTGCGCTACTTACGGGAACAAATATAAGTAGTATGTAGTCGGAATCGGAAGTGGAATGTTTACCTTCAGAAGATTGAAATAAAGATAAGAGGAGGAAAAACAGACCAATCACGATAACAACATCATTAGAAGAATGATGGAGTATGTAAGGATAACTCAATAATGATAATCAAGTGAGGTATTTAATGCACAATTTTGCACTTAGCATTTTCATTTCTTATATTTCTTTTCAATATAGTATGTTGTAATCCAACAGTTAATGTGGAACAATTTACTTCTGGTTTAAATAAATCTGGCTGGTTGAAACATTTACATGCTATATTAGAAGCAGCTTATTTTGTTGCAAAACGATTAGATGAAGGGAATTCTGTACTTGTGCATTGTTCCGATGGATGGGATCGTACTGCTCAAGTTTGTGCCCTAGCTCAAATTATATTAGATCCATATTATAGAACATTTCTAGGGTTGCAAGTGAGTTAAAAACAAATGGATATATAAATACGTAGAGATTGTTTGACCTGTATTGTACAAATAACTTTAATATCAAGAAGGGAGTCAAATACATGAGTCACCACAAAACTGTCCGATATCACGTAATTCCGGAATCTCGAAAAAGTCGGATTCACTAGAACCATCAGCAACGTAAAAAATATTGATTTTGATGTTCAGTACGTGTATTGATGAGGAAAGTTTTTTTATTTGAAGTATTCGTTTGCTGTCTCAGTTAATTTAATAGTAGTATATTTAAGAGTTAATGACGCACACTATACAGCAAATTATCAAACTGAAAGTAATAATAATTATACGAAGCTTTCTTAACATATGAGGTTAGAAGATATACGTAAGCTTCTAGTATATATATATATATATATATATATATTTAGTACCTACCCCAGCATCTAACACTGAATAACATAGGAAACCAGGAATAGTCAAGCAAAATAAAACTCAACCTTAACCGTTTCTTGATCAAAAATACTGTCACACCCCAGTACAATTTGCAGTAAGACTTCATTGTCGGATCTCAAGGTTGCTGCTTTTAGTTTCCTCCCCCCCGAACCAATTTTCCTGTCATGGTCAGATCCTCGATGAATAAGTGTCTTAGACAATATTACTCTGTTGGATCATCACGTACAAGCTCGACCATGTTGTCAAGGTGACATCCATAGACGGGCTGTATTTGCAACGAAAATTTCAACAATTTCTATGACTATTGATGCTCACTTCTACAGTCCTAAATAAGGCTGATGAAAACTTATCAATGCTCTGTGATTTTCACTTTATAAATATATATATCGGATATGAAGACATCATGGGACGACATGGACTAGGAGAAATGAACGAAAGTGGTGAGAGATTTGCAAACCTATGTGCCTTCAATAACCTGGTAATAGGCGGCACCATATTCCCACACAAACGCACCGAATCACACTACACAGATCCAAATCGACCGTATCTGCATCAACAAAATGTTCAGGAGGACAATGGATAATGTGAGAACCAAGAGAGGAGCTGATATAGCATCAGATCATCACTTGCTGGTTGCCAAGATGAAATTGAAACTCAAGAAGCACTGGACAACATGGCGGACGACATCACAAAAGTTTAATGCGGCTTTTCTTCGGGATACTGGCAAACTCAACAAATTCAAGATTGCCCTCAGCAATAGGTTTCAGGCCTTTCAAGATCTACTCAGTGGAGAGGGAACTACTATAGGGAGCATCTGGAGAAGGATAAAAGAGCCAATCAACTCAACATGTCATGAGGGTCTGGGCCACAAGGAATGGATCACTATTAATACACTGGATAAGATTCAAGTGAGGAGGAACAAGAAGGCGTAATTACGTGGAGGATTAAGCAATGACGGCAGAAACAGCTGCAAGAGAAGAAAATATGAGACAACTGTATGACACAAAGAAACTCACTGGAAATCACCGTAAACCAGAACGACCAGTGAAAAGCAAGGAGGGAAAAGTGATCACCAACATCGAAGAACAGCGAAACAGGTGGGTAGAACACTTCAAATAACTCTTGAATCGACCAGCCCCACTGAACCCATTCAACATCGAAGCAGCACCCACGACGTCCCAATCGATGTTGGCCCACCAATAATTGAAGAAATCAGTATGGCCATCAGACAAATCAAGAGTGGTAAAGCAGCAAGACCAGACAACATTCCAGCAGAGGCAGTTCTACTGCACGGGGTGGAAACTTGGAGAACTGCAAAAGCCATCATCCAAAAGATACAGGTGTTTATTAATAGCTGTATACGCAAAATTCTTCGGATCCGTCGACCAGATACTATCAGCAACAACCTACTGTGTGAGAGAACAAACCAGATCCCAGCGAAGGCAGAAATCAGGAAGAAGCGCTGGCAGTGGATCGAACACACATTGAGGAAAGCACCCAAGTGCGTCACAAGGCAAGCCCTCACATGGAATCCTCAAGGCCGAAGGAGGAGTGGAAGACCAAAGAACACGTTACGCCGAGAAACGGAGATACACATGAGAAGAATGCACAAGAAATGGATAGAACTAGAGAGGAAGACCCATGACAGAGTGGGTTGGAGGATGCTGGTCGGCGACTTATACTCCATTAGGAGTAACATGCGTAAGTATATATATATATATATATATATATATATATATATATATATATACCATGTAACTTTATGTTGTTAGGCTTTAATTGAAAAAGACTGGCTACAATTCGGTTACAAGTTCACCGAACGATGCGGTTTAGTGTCAGGTGCTGATCCTCGTGAAGTCTCCCCAATATTTACACAGTTTCTTGATTGCTTACGGCATTTGCTCGAAATCTGCCCAACTAAATTTGAATATAATATTAAATTATTAAAGTATTTACACGATCAAATTTATTCAGCCGTTTATGGAACATTTATTGGATGTAGTGAAAAAGAAAGAATCAATTTAAAGTTAGTTTTTTTGTCTCTGATTTTTAAAATTCATTTACCATGTACAGATTTGTGTACCTAACTTCAAGTCACAGTGCGAGCGTCTGGGACTGCTGATCCTACTATCACACGGTAGCTTAAACTGGAGCAGGATGAGATGAGAGTCCAAAGCTGCGACCTAATTACTGAGTGTCTAACGCAACGACTGCCACTCATAATTATTTTATTATTAAGTCGCCATTGTCTATCTAGCATCTGACACTGATGTATGCCTTGGTTCAATTTGGCATAGCTGCATCGGCATAAAGAGATAAATGAACAAAACACTTGATAAACTTGTCGTATTATTAGTGATACTGTCAATGGTTGTGAAAAAAACCAATTGTTTTGAAAAGTATAGTTTAGAAAGAATGAATGCATTCATGGGGTAAAAAATTATGAAATGTAGGGTGGTGGTTGGAAGTAGTCGACAATAAACCGTTTGACTTAGGTTTTGTTCTATTCGGCACTCGTCGTAATGGTGTAACTGTAATGTCAAGGGAAACGATGCTGGTTGTGGAATTCTATCCTGTCCCTTCTAGCTTCATAGTCAACAACGTTACCCCTGAACTTGGGTCGTGACTAAACTGTAGAACTGGGATGTATTTACAATTCTGATCAATAGAATTCGATTAACACGAAGAAGGATTTGATGTTGATCACTACTCAGTTATCATTTAGTTGTAAGTGTAGAGTAATAGTGTAGTGAACGAGAAGTCAGGTGGGTAATACCAATTCGCTGTTTATTTCTATACTACAGAACGTCTTCGTAAAATATGAAGACCATATATTGATTACATAACTTGCACATCTTCCATCAAATGTCCCTTACAAACATCGTCATTCCTTCATTCTATTTGTTATTAAAATTACTCTCTGTTTCTTTTTCTTTTCCCCTCAATTCGATCTTCTTAACCATCTGCTTCCAGGCATTCCACTTCTGATTGGTGTTGCATACTACTTATGTCTGTTGACATAAATAGCATACTCCACAGTAGTGACTCTCGAGATCCAGTTTAAAACATGGACTTAATAGATTTGCATTACTGTAACCAATTTCAAACCTTACCACCAAACGCCTTCAACTATTGAATCTGATTGTCACGCGGTTGCCAACCAAGTAGAAGTGAGAATCTACTGGAATTACCTCAGTTTCTCAACTTTTGTTATTTATTTTAATTTGACTATCTCCTATTATCTGTGGAAGCTTCTACTAAGTTGTAGATGACCTCAACTCCCACCACTGTACTTCGTGTCAACGTAATTGTGTCTATTGATATCTGATTCTTGATCAAACAGTTAAATATGAGTTGTCTGTGTTCACAAAGTTCAGTTCAATTAAATGTTGTTTTTTCTCTCTGGATTCTTGATGTAGGTTATAGTATTTTTTTTACTGTAGAGTTCAACAAAGTACTTACTCTTTATGGGGTTATTTAAATCAATATCGTGACAGATGGATCAATCCATTCTATGAACATAATTCTGTATGGACAGATTCTTCTATTGACGGGGGTGGCAGGGGTAACTACAAATACAATATATCATCCCATTTTGAAACCGATGAATTAATTACTGTCGGAATTGAGTTGATTAATGATGGTAAAGGGAATAGTCGATATGCAGCGGATATACTACCTGTATATATTCTATGTGCACCTTTATTTCGGTAAGTAACAAGATGTTTATTCATCCCTATTAGCAGCCAATATATTTTGTGATCTTTTTGTCATTCGAAGTGATAATGTGAGCAAAATAATTTCTTTGACCGAAGTTGTGTTAAAGCAACTGGCCAATCAATAAATTACTTCCAGAATGCTCTATGAATTCTACTTTGAAGACTACTATTAGCTGGCATTTGCATGTAATCCCATAGTTTGTTTAGCTGACACCATATTTCTCACTGATAACAGCTCGTATAAGTTGAAAAAGCTGACAATTGTTCAATGTATTTGTTCCTTCTAAGCTGACTTTGTGTGTGAGAGATAGAAATGAAATTAATGAAATCAAAATAAAAAAAGTTTCAATGATAAATAAAATAATAATAATAGGAATTACAATGAGCATGCTGCTGTATCGTGCGCCGTCCGAAAGTTGATACTGATACACATTTTCTATATCAAGCATGGTAACTGATATAACGGATGGTTTAATATATATATATATATATATATATATATATATATATATATATATATATATATATATATATATATATATCCCAAGGAAATTAAGCATATCAGCAGTTTCTATCTCGTCCCGTGCATCCAGCTTCTGCAGCGATACTGCCTTCTCTCAACGGAAAGAATAGATTAAGAAATGTCGACCGTAAAACTGTCACACCTTACCCTGCGGATTTCCTCCAACGTTAAGATCTTTTTGAAGTGCGAAGCTAAATCATCAAAAAAGCCGTGCGTGAGCGGCCTCAAGAAGTTATCTCTTGGACATGTTCTACGAATGTCGTCCCAGAGAATTCCTCGTCGTGCATTATTTGCCGACTCTGGGACTGGTTGGAAAAAGCGGAGAGGTGGTCAGTATATGACATGGTGTCATGGTATGAAAGAAAGCTGCAAATGGCTAGCTTCTGTTGGTCCTTCATGACTCCCTGGTTGGGGTCCGAGAGACGGTGTAACGCAGTGGCTAGAGACGTTATCAGATATGGCTCAGAATAGAAGCCAGTAGCGATCCTGCTGTAAACTTATTTTACTTTCTTCATAAAAAGTGGTTGTATCTTCCTTAACTGAAAGATTTCTTCTGATTGTACCTTTCCGTTTTCCCCATCATTGTTCTCCCTCTTTTTTTTTAATAATTCCCCACGTTCATTACCTTTTTTTCTCCTTCTCTTCAAATTATTATTGTTTTGTGTGGCGCATATATATTTGGTGCCCCCCTGTACCAATATTTATGTGTTCAAATAAAATAAAAAATAAATACACAGAACAATGAGAATGGGAAGAGAAAAAGAATGTAAGGTGCGTATAAAAAAAAGAACAATAACAACCACAGATTAGTATATGGTAGTGAAATAACAATAATAATAATTGGGGGAACGGAAAGGTACAACCAGAAGGAATTCTTTCAGTTAAGGAAGTTACAACCACTTTTTATGAAGAAAGTAAAATAAGTTTACAGCAGGATCGCCACTGGCTTCCATTCTGAACCATATCTGATAACGTCTCTAGCCACTGTGTTGCACCATCTCTCGGACCCCAGCCAGGGAGTCGTGAAGGACCAACAGAAGACGATGACTTTTACAGAAAGCTTTCTGAACTTATTAAAAAGCTAAACACCTAGATATAGTACTCGTAGCAGGTGACTTTAATGCCCAAGGAGGTAGTATAAGCCAAACAGAAAGACACTTAGGTTGGTATTTTAGTATTCCGGCTCAGAGAATAGATAATGGTGATCGTCTGCTGCAATTGTACTCAGACAATGGTTTGTTTTTAGGGAACTAATTTTAAGCATAAGGAGAGGCATCGTCTAACATGGCGACCCCTGCATCAAACCAACGATGGACTCAAATAGACCATATTGCCATCAGTCATCGTTGGAGAGGGTCGATAGAAGACTGTCGCTTGTTCTGGAATACCTGCTTGGACTCCGACCATGCTCTAATACGGGCGCGCATTTGCTTGCGCCTCAGGGGACGCAGAAAAGGCACACCAAGAAGACCCATTAGAATTGTACTAGGTGACGAGAAAGCCAAAAGTAGATTCCAAGAACAACTGAGGTCACACTTAGTTAGTTCTGAGAACGAGGCTGACCCAGATGTTGCTTGGAAAGATATACGAACAGCTGTGGAAACAGCAGTGACATCTATGAGTGATTTAAACCAAAGCGTTACAAAGAACCAATAGATTTCTTCTAGGTCTATTGCACTGATGAATTCTCGCAAACTCATCCCATCATGCTCTGAACACGATGATGAACGAAAGTAAATCAGATCTAGGTTAAGCAAAAGTCTAAGGAACGACTGTGAGCAGTGGTGAGCATCGAATGCAAAAGAGATGGAAAAGGCGGCTATAGGGAACACAAGACAGCTCTTCAGACTCATGAAAGAAACTGGAACTAAGAACTGACGTATAAGTGAGACTATCTCGGAAAAAGATGACACTCTTATCTGCTCTCAACCCAGACGTTTAAAACGATGGGTGGAACCCTTTAAGGAGTAGTTCAGCTGGCCTTCCGTTACTCTACAACTACCCACCATTTCCAGACAGTGTGAATGGAACATTGAAGTAGGCCCTCCAACTCTCGTTGAAGTTCCAAAAGCTACAACTAATCTGAAACGAGGAAGAGCAGCTGGTCCAGACGGATTGGCTCCAGAGGTCTTTAAGGATGGTGGTCTAATTTTAGCGACTAGGTTGACCAATATTTTACCTAGAATGTGGGAACTGAGCCAGACACCGTCCAGACTTAAATTTTATTAACCGAGCACTACAGCTCAATCCCGCTTCACATGAGCTGTACTGTTTGGGTTGTCACGTGAAAGTCTGGATGGCGTCTGGTTCTCCTGTAAACCAATGTAAAATTACCCTGACCCACAAGGGCATATTATATAACAGTGAATAGCTCTATCTGTAGCTCTTCTAGCGTTACTGCCGGCCCCAAGCCCGGGTAAAGGAGGAGGGTTGGGCATGGGGTTAGCGTATCCATTCCGTAGAAATCTAACTCGCTAAAAAACGCTAACCAGAAAAAATAATTCAAGCCATTTAAATTCTGCCCTGGGAGTTAGGTCTTCATTTAGAAGAACTATGACGCCTCATGGTGAAAGCCGAGTTCCTTCGGAAGCCACGAAGCCGATGCCCCTTCTAACAACCAAAGCAACAATTTTTATAGGTACATGGAACTTCCGGACAATGTGGGATACCGGGAAGACCAGTCAAATAGCAACGGAAATGAGGAGATACAACTTGGCAGTACTGAGAGTCAGCGAAACCCATTGAACCCAAGCTGGACAACAAAGGCTAAATACGAGAGAGATGGTGCTATACGAAAAAGAAAATGCTCCACACACCCAGGGAGTTGCTCTAATGCTGTCCAAAGTAGCACGAAATGCACTTGTAGGATGGGAATGTCACGGATCCAGAATCATCAAAGCATCATTCAAAACAAAGAAGGAAGGGATCACAATGAATATTATCCAGTGTTATGCATCCACCAATGATAGCAACGAAGACATCAAAGATCAATTCTGTGAGAGGCTGCAGTCAACCATAGAGAAGTGCCCAAGAAAGGACCTCACCATTTTGATGGGGATCTAAACTCACAAGTCGGAATAAACAACACCGGATGTGAAGATATCATGGGAAAACATGGACTAGGAGAGAGAGAGAGAGAGAGAGAGAGAGAGGAAAATGGGGAAAGATTTGCGAATCTCTGTGCATTCAACAAATTGGTCATATGCGGCACAATATCAATACCAAAGTTTGACTTGATAATTACTCATGAATTGAGCATTGGGTAGATTGTTATAAATAAAGTAATATATTTGTAATATTCCAATGAGTAGAAAAATTTGATTTTCTGACGTTTTTTGACTTAGTGTAATCCACTTCTTCAGAGAATATTCTCTACTCATTAGGATATTACAAATATATTATTTATTTATTATTTTACTGTTTTTTTCTTGAAATAAGGGAATGACTTGTAGGGAATTCTATTTCTACATGTAGTTTAATGTCATTGACTCACTTTAGTCTATGCGCAATTAAAGAATTTTACCATCTTATTTCTTGGCGTCAGTTAGTGAAATCTTTCACCTAGAAAATATTCACCTTTCTGTCATATTTATATGAAATAATATAGTTGTTCCGTATACAGTAAAAAGTTTTACTCAATCAATCAACAGATAAATAACCTTCAATTAACTTTTGTGGATGTGTCAATTCCAATTTCATTATGATTAGTTATCAAACTAGACATTATTATCAGTTTTGTTAGCTTGCTAACTTTTAGCATAAAGGAGCCCACTGATCAGCCGAAACACTTGCTTCGTCATATATCAAACAATCGAATTACACCGTCAATTTGTACACTTAGATTTTTCAGCATATATTCTTGTTTTTATTCATTTCATTGCAACAGTTTATGGCGTGATCTTTATTTACATTGGGAATGGCGTTTGCCTAAATACGATTTACAACGTGAAAATCATGTTTCGGATTACTTATCAGGTCTGTCAACTCTACTCGATCACAATCGACTTTTAGAGGCTAGAATCGGTCAGTTGCAAGAATTATTAAAGTGTAAAATTGTACATGGTAAGAATAATCTATGTAATTCAATGGACAAATCTATTACATCTAAGGTAGGTAGGTGTTTGTAAAAATAAATGCTTTTTAATGATGATATTTAAGTTTAAAATATAAGTAGGAAAGGAATCAGTTTAATATTCTCACAGCTTCGAAAATTTATCGCTAACGGGTAATTTATTCATATTTTCTTGTTCGACATTTTGAAGTTCCCATCAATAAAGTTATATACTTAAAGACGATAATAACGTATTTAAGTGGTTAAATATTAAATTATATAATAAATCAGACAGCTGATATGAATTTTAGGTTTTATCTATGCATTAAGGTCTCATATTTATGGCCCTGTATAGAGTAACGTTTTATTTATCTAAAACCGAAGATTATGTGCACTTATTAGCATTGATGGTTATGTAACTTCCAAGTTTATTGTATGTTAGCTTTTTGTTTATATGACCGTACTTTGTACTACTACTTTGAGTTAGATGTTTGATTAAATTTAAAATTTCATATCCGATATTGTCCTTCAACAAGGAGGTGCCGTGCATGCATATTCGGGGAAACTCAATTCATCATCATTCGTCTTTGAAGTTGAAGAGAGATGTCACTGGTGGTCTAACCAGTCTCATATATATATAGAAGGATTGAAATTAACCAATGTGACTATAACTAGTAATCTCGAAATCTATGGTTTACATCACGGACTTGACAGTTGTTTCATACTAGCATGGAACTTAGTAATGTCCATCAACAACACCAATAATCGTACCCAGGAGTTAAATACTAACTCAGTGGTCTGAAAGTTAGGCAACTTGCGAGGTCTATAGACACTAAACCCTATCCCTAGTGATATCATGTAGATACACCTTTAAGAAAGTCTCATTTTTAGACAAAATGGAGTTACCCGATGCTTTTTAGGTTTCATTAGAGTCGTCCAGCTAATGTCAAACGGTGATGTAAATTACATATTGAACAATATTTTGCACCATTACTTTCAAAATTGATACTTTTCATGTTTACATTAATAAGTCGTTTCTCTGGAACTCAGTCTTCTTTAAAGATAACAAGGTTGTTTCATATACAAACGTGTTATATGTAAAACAATGATGTGATCTACATGAGTAAATTAATCATTTGCTCATTATTGACTAGCTTCAAGATGGCTTTACTGGAGTTCTAGTGAAAAGCCACGACCAGTGGAGTTTAATCCCTATTGATTGAAGAATTACCCGCCTCAGACAATGAATTGCGCAAGGTTATGGATCGATTGAAGTTAGACATCAACACCGTTGGATGCGGGCCCAGTGGTCTAGAGGTTATCGATAGTCCCGGGTTCGAGTCTCGCGGGTGTTGAGATTGAATTTCATAAAAATCTGTGTATGTCTTTATTGTTTTATGTCACTTCAACCATGTTATTTTATATAAAAAAATTCCTCTTAGCTTATGAACAATGATGGAAATGAACAGACAATCATAGACACTATCTCCAATTTATTTCATTTTCAACGTACAATCACATCGTCACCAACCCATAACAATAATGTTAATAATCGTTCTCTTGTTCTTACAAAACAGAATTCAATTACGAGTAAGCGTAATTTGAAGTTGATATATTGTATGGTGTTTATTAAATTCTTAAGAAAAAAACCAATGGTATAGCCATAACAATATATGACATCAGTCCAAGATGTCACTAATTGTCACACTTATCCATCTAGATACGCACTTCTAAATTTGGATCTTCGGGATAATTGCGATCAGTGATTAGAGACATTGAGTCATACGGGTCAGAATGAATCACTGTGACACAGATGGATTCACTTTTTATCTGGCTTTCTTTTGGAGACGTTAGATCCCCAGAAATCACTTGGAAAAGGACCTAATTTCGTAGTTTTATTTAGAAATTTTGAATTTTTTTGTTTTCGCGCTAAGGGCGCTCTTTTCACCTTGATGTCGTATTTCCCACTTGGGAGAATCTAAAACGCTATTGGTCCGTTGTGTCTTTTAATATGTTATTTTGTAAAGCTTCCCAAGGACGGTTTTGTGCTGCACATATACGTTTTGATTTGTGTCTGTTGTTATCGCTCGTGCTTCTGGCTTTTTGCGGAATATACTTCCCCGTTCGGACTTCAACTTCTCTCTCTAGTTAACGGGGCTGGGACGCAATAGAATAGCTAGTTTATTGGTCTTTGTTCCGTTCGCAGTCTAAGTGAACTCGTAACCGCTTCAAACCTAGCACATTTTATCTTAAATTCCAGTATTCCTTCATACATACTTTTCCATTCTATCTTTTCTAAAGATATTCTCAGTGTTCATACTTTCTCGTCATTTCTGCCACATTATTTCCATCGTGTTATTCCCATCTCGCCAAGCCGATACAGTGTGAAAACTTAGGCCAACATATATCTTTTGCCAGGTTTTATGTTGATGATAACTGACTAGCTACATGAAATACAGAAATCGCTGCATGATAAAATTTTCAGGTCTCCAGTGACTTGATAATTCCTGTATTTCACCTGCCTAATAGCTGCCTCGCATCTATTAAAACATACTTTGCTTGTTACAGTCAACATAGACACTGCTGAGGGGAGGGTCTAAAGATGATTAAAATAAACAAAGTATTTGTAGACTGAATTTTCTTATTTACATTTTTTCCAATTCTAATCTACTCATTAGCTAATGGGATACATTTTTAGTCGATATGATCTAAACACTTTCCTACGCCACACCAGTATAATGAGAAAGTTAACTCAGTACGCTTTTCTTCACTCTGATTGATGAAGGTTATTTTTTTAATTTCAACACATAGATATTGGTACAAGGAGGCACCAAATACATATGCGCCACATAAATCTCATTTGATGTATGTGAGGGCTGTGATACTGCCCGAGTGCCCAAACCGGAGCAGGTGGTTTTCTTAGAGGGCCACACCCGGAGCCTTCGACCTGAACGTCTGACCCACAAGGCAGTGGAGCATCGCAAGGAGATGGAAGTTTAACACTTTCGTAAAAGTCTAAGTCTGTCGCATTTTTTGGTAATCATCCGAAAATATCCTTTGTTGTCTGTATTTCCGCCTTTTAGTTTCTAGTGTACGGCTTTGAGAAGCTGGGAACATTGTTCGGATTAAAATTTCATTTAAAGATTCACATAATCACCAGAGTTTAATGAACTTATCATTAATTCAATCAATCGACGTACTTTGTGTAATATACTATTATGAATACACTTCAACCATATGTATAATATGTTGGGACTTGAGACCTTAGTGAATATCACATGCTGAGTTCTTCATTAATATTTCCGATTATAATTTCTTCTATCCCGCAACTGCTATTCTCTCTGTAGCCTAGCAACTTGGGATTAGTCAGTTATATGTCCTGATCTGTGCAATTGACCTTCAGTCGACGTCAACCCCACTCCTACTGGTACGCCTCAATCTCCAGTCTTAAGTCGGAAGAGAAGTCAGCAGACAAACTTCAACTATCACGTTCCAATCACCGAGTCAACAACTATTTTAAACACATATTAGCTTACCTAAACACGAATTATCAGATTGCACAGCACACCGAATAAGAAATCACATGTTGAACATGTAGTGGCTGGTACTATGTCAAGCCAACAAAGGTTATCCCATTTTCTGGAAAAACCAATCCACATTTTACCTTGTTAACTATTCGCTTATTAACCTTGACTATTTTTATTTGAAAGTGTGTTAATTGCTAATCCTATACATTGTGTCTGTAACTTATTTTTGTTTGACTATAATTATCTATTCACGCTTGGTTAAGTCGAGTTGGCTCACTTCAAACTTCATTCTTGTATTTGACTTGTTTATATTCTAACGCGAATTAAGTCGATAATTATGTACAAGGATCAACGGTGTCATATCCTAGTGAAGATTAAATTACGAGCAACTTCTGGGAACTATTAATGAACTAATATTATATATATAATAACTATTCAGTAACTAGTTTATATGTATTTATGTTTCTCTTATCATAAACTTTATTTTGACCTATAGACAATTATTATACGACTTACTGTTCCCAAGTTATACTCAGCTTATTAATTACCATCTCCCACCATCACAGCCACTTTTGCCTAGAACACGTACAAATGTTATTTCCTATTTTATGGTGTGATATGGTCCGTTTGGCTTGTATGTAAACCAGGTAGGCTTGAAATAAATAATTCGCATAGTGGAAGCTGGTATTGGTGTTCGGGACTCAACTGGCAGGACCTATAAGGACAACACGTCATTGGTTTGGCACACTGCTAAGATTTTATAAGTCGTATTCCGATTGGTGAATAAATCACGTGATATTAAACCGGGCGCCCCCAAATGCCCTGGTACGGCCGAGAGTGGGGAGAGTCCGCTCTCCCTCTCGAAATGCTCTCACATGGCCATGCGTATATAGCCTCTGCCAGGGAAGTCCTACTCACTGCCTTCTCGTGGCGGGGGTGTTGTTTACAAAAATGAGAGGACGAAAAGCGAATGTCTGGCGCTTTAACCGGACCCCAAACCAATGGTGCACATGGGCTCCAGTATCCTGAAGGAACAAATGGCGTATGAACCAATCGTTGGTCACCGGCTACCATGGGACTGCATCTCCTCACGATGCTCCACTGCCTTGTGGGTCAGACGTTCAGGTCGAAGGCTCGGGGTGTGGCCCCCTAAGAAAACCAGCTGCTTCGGTTCGGGCACCCGGGCAGTATCACAGCACTCACACAAATCAATTGAGATTTGTGTGGCGCATATGTATTTGGTGCCTCCCTGTACCTATACTTATGTGTTAAATAAATAAATAAACCGGGCCTAATAGTCACAACAGGAGGCATGTACATTTCGATCACAATCTGCATACGATCTAATTGGAATCACATACAGGGCCACTAAAAACACAATCATGCCATGAGTGTCAGGAGCGAAGCTGTAGTGTCTAGTACCATGTCAAGCCCACATGGGTTATTCTAGCTCCCGTACAGATCTATTTACTCATTCATTTCAGGTCACACATTGACTTTGTTAATTATTCGCTTATTAACCTTGACTGTTTTTGTATGAGCGTATGTGTGTGCATTGCTTATCCTACTCATCACATGTCTAACTTATTTTTGTCTGAATATAAACACTGAGTCACGCTTGATCGAATAGAGTTGTCTCCATCGCTTTCCCGCTTCTTCATTCTGAATATCTGTCTGGATAAACGAGTGTGCGAAATAAATTCATCCAACGACACCCGTATATGGCTTCTTATTACCGCCGTTACACAGACGGAATCAGCCTATGCGGAGTCAAATAGGAAATTTATGTTCATAACATCTTCGTACGATCAACCTGGAATCAGAAAGCAAACAGGACTTTAATGGACAGTAACAATTAAGGGTTAGTAAAGCACATAACATAGAAATACAATAATACCAGTTAAAGATAAAATATAAATGACAATAATCTGAGAAGTAGTTCCGAAAATTGTCAACCTTTACGATATTCTTCCCTTTGTAACATGATATTAAACTGAATTTTTCTAATTATTTTTCTCTTCAAATAACAAATTTTTAGGTGATCAAAAGCGTTTATCTCAACCCACCATTGAACAGTTGAAATGTGAGATGAGTATAATCAACGTGAACTGGACACATTGCTTTAAATCAGGAAGTTTATGCTGTGTATGCAATAGCCTGTTAGCTTTGTCAAATCAATCGGTACGTATGTAATACAAGCTACTAAGTAGGTAGGGTTATGACACGATGGGCTGTTCAAACGTATTCACCACCGTATTTCAAACTGTTTATCTATATGTCAGGGATTTTCCTGTTTTAGACTTGTTTTTATGAATTATTGTCTATCAACCGTATATATATTTACGCGCTTTCATAAGATTTTCTTACAAGAAATCTTATCAAGAGGTACCATCACGCTGGTCCGTATAATTTTCCTCTTACCCCTCTATCTTTTGGAGCAACGAAAAGTACTTACCATAGAATTGATGCATCAGATATATTCAGGGATGAATAGAATTGCACTGAAAAAAGACTGATCCTAGATATTAAACGATAAATCACTGTTTAAAAACGATTTATACATATTGTTCTGAATATTTACAAGTTAAATGTGACATCCTTAGGGAATCAGACACAGGTCAGACAACAACCTCGCGCTATTGGACAGGACTTGCATCTCCAAGTAAAAAAGCACATGTGGTTTGACGAAAACTTGACCTCATGTTGTATGGGATAGAGATATGTATTCATGACTGAGTAAATACACATTCTTGATTTGGTTTTGGTCATCAAAGCTTCCTTCTCATTCAACTAGCTGGTTTGGGCTACTGTATATGAAGCTTGTATGTCAGTATCAGAATCGGACAACACAACTAACCGCTCAAACTACCGTCACGCAATTATAGATCGAACCTGTCAAGTCCACAGAACAAGCTGTTCGTGAATTGTGGAGAAATTTCGGGGAGACTATAATTTATGGATGAACCAATAAGGTATAAGATAATAAGTCTCGGATATTGGCGTGAAATTCACTCATCCAACTTGGTTAAATAGTTGTGTCATTAGAGCTGATTTCTGTTCGTGATGAAAATCCAAAATCTAATTCCCAACCTTAATCATCAACTGTAAAACATAAGTCTAATTCCTCATACATGTTTATAAATCTCGTTTGGTCCTAGATATTAGGTGAACACTCTCAAGGTCAGTCTAGCTTAGCTCAAAGGTCGTCCATAAATTATAGTCTTACCGATATTTTAAAATCTCACTTCCTTTCGAAGTATGTATTGATGACCTTGTCTAAAAATATAATCAAAACTATAATTAACCCATTGGGTATGGAGGACACAACACCGTATGAACATGTTTTGATGTCACTATTGTCTTTATTGTTCTGTGTAATTTGAGATAATTCTATTAATTCAGAAGTTGTAGATTCATGTAAAGCTAAGTAAGCTTTTGATAGCAGCAGTTTATTTCTAGTTGAAATCCAAATGTCCAAAACATTCCCCGGCAGCGGGTTTTCAAAACAGTGACTTTTTGATATCGTGTTTATGCTAGGTTCGTTAAGTTTGAATGCTACTACTGATTCTTCTTACTCGGAACGGAACGAAGTATCAAGGATTCAGAGACTGGATAGACTATTGTGGTCCGCTGTCCCCGACTCAGCTAATCCGATCAAGAAGTCTTAGTAAGACGTAGAAAGTGTATTCTACAGGCAACCAGCAGATACCAGGTCAATCAGGCACACAAATCAAGCGTATTTATACAAATATATATAATCGATATTGTCATATAAATTTTTAAACATTCATCAATCGACTGCCATCCAAATATTTAATCGATAAGATAAAATTACAAAATGTGAGTTTGAGGGATCTATCGTCCCCGACATTTTACCACAATGTTTGTAAAAAATCTTTTAGGGAACCGTCTTGTTTAAGGTGATTGTTTGCACATCTTCAAGAAGCGTACCGTAAAGACGATACCATTTGATTTTGTCACTGAGTTTTTTACAGTGAAATTTATGTTCAATATCATATATTGGTCTTTAATTGTTTTTTATTAATTTTCCGGGAAAACAAACAGGTTCATTGTCATTCATGTGGTCTACTTATATGCTCTCGGTGTATTCACTCAAACCCGCCAAAAATTCCAAGTTTATGGTCAAATGAACAAAGATCTGTTCAGTTTTGTAATCCATGCGCTTCCGGATTGCGTAATATCTGTATTTACAACAGCAGTGCTGGCAGTTCTCATATAAAACATTTTACTCAAATGGAATCACTTGAAATTTTTGCTACTACCACTACTGCATAAATAACAGTTGTTTGTCTTTGAAAAATCCACTAGCTTTGGGATAACTGACTCTGTTTAATTGACTGATTGGTTGATAATTGACAGATGTATGTGACATTCAAGTCGATATTCAGTTGTTTGTGTTGGATGGTAGATAGTTGTCTGTCGTTCTCTTCATCAAGATAATATGATTCTAGGCTTCAAGTACTGGTAAATTATATAATTCCCATTGAAACTGAATTATCTGTGATTTAAGTGGTTCCTTTCTGTCTACAAAATATTATTATTGTTATTACGTTTGTATTCAACCGTGTTTCTAAGGACTAGTACCTTTTTCTCGTTGTATATTTATTATTTGTATATAAATGATTTCATCACATCACAATAACCTATTCCCTTGTTTTTGTTTGTCGCTTGTGTTTCGTGTTGTTTTTCAGAGGAAATTATGTGGTCTTTCCTCATCTCTTTATTGATTTTCCCACTTTTAACTTCTTGTATACACTCACCCTCTTGGTCAATTCTGCTTTTGCTGAATTTTGTTATCATTTCAAAGTTGACTTCATAATCAATCGATGCAGTAACGGTTGGTCGAACGAGAATTGTTTTTTTCGCTCTACTCTCCTTTCTCATACCCCCTATTCTTGTTATTAAAACATTATATTTCATAATGAGACTTTTATGGCCGTTTGATTCGGCTCCAGTTAGATCGTATGATGATGTTATCAAAATATACATCCTGGCTATCCTTATACATAATTATCGACTTAATTCACGTTAGAGAATGGTGAAATAAACTAAGTCAAATACGAGGCTGAAACCCTAGTCCGTCCCTATATTCCTAACTCCAACAAAGAACGATTTAGGACCTCTTGGAAATTCATCTAGGTCTTTATGGAGGATTTGAAGTGGATAATCTATACTCATTTGGACGATGTCATTCTTTCAATTTGCATGTAGACTAACCTGTAGAAGTCTAGTAGATCCCACTAAATGTGCAAAATCTATCTATGCACTGTAATAATATTTTTGTTTCCACACACTATCAATTTACAGAGGTTAGTTTTTGATTGTATAAGAAGTGACTGGAAATTTGTGGTTGTTTTAGGTTCATCTCTATGCTACACAACTATCATAGTTGATTAATGATAAATGTATTTTTCGTTATATTCTAATGAGTAAAAAATTGTATTTCTAACGTTTCGTGAATAGAAAGTTTTGCCCTCATTGCGGAAAGATAGAACGATTGTCATTTTCAAAGTTGACAAAGGTAATACGACAGTAGCCATGACGAAAATGCTCTAATTCATCTATCGATGACACTATATTTAAAGGTGATTCGAAAAATTCTGGCTTTGTCGAGTCAATCTGTTCACCTAGTTCCGATAGCTTATTGAGCAAGCTTCGGGCATTAGTGTAACAGATCCGTAGCCTATTTAAGTGGCTTCGCCATCATTCTCTGACGAAGCCTCACAACCCAAAAATTTACAAGTTCCAGGTCCTTTTCGCCAGCGTCTAACCTCATTTGTAGTTCTTTTTCGGCTTCCCGTCTTTTTACACGGTCTGCCAACGGCAAGTCCTTTCGGATAAAAACTCCCGAACTCTTTAATTTATGTCCATTCTGCAAAATTAAGTCCCTTTCATTCGAAGATTTGAAAACTACTTTAAGCAGTCTAAATTGATTAGGCTTCAAGTTCGCTAAACTACCTAGTCTATACACCTTTAGCAAGGTGACTCCGGAGATATTTTGAGGCATGAGTTGATTAAGTAGCTGTTTTATCAGGACACTGTCATGCTCAAAACGAGTTTTTGGTTCGGAGCTTTCGCTCTCCTTGATCCTATGAAAAATGACTGATGTGTTACTGTGATCAGCCTTCGATTTTTCGACTTCTTTTGTGGAAGCAGGATTCCCTTTTACATCGTTTTTCTGTTTCTTCCTCACAACCTGTACCCATTCGTCAACGTTGCTTGGAGAAGCAACAACAGTAGCGTCAAACATACTGTGGGATTCCGGAGGGTTTTCGATGACTTGGGAGGTCAGGTTTGGTGTCCCTTTAGAAACTGATCGAGCCTTGCGGTTGCGGCCTCTATGTGTTTCTTTCTGGATACCATTTTGAGGACGTGGGACAGAAGAAACTTTTCCTTGAGTTTTTTGTGCGGACAGAACTCTTTGGGGACTGTTCTCCCTCCTTTGGTCGGTGCGAGTCATCTGTTTTCGAACTCACTTTAGTTTGCTCCACACCAATTTGCGTGTCAGCGGAGCGAGTACTTGATGATGTGTCGCGACCACACTTGCCAAAACATTTTTTAGCAGCACTAACCAATGAAATGGCCTCGGTTAGCAAGCTGTTAGCATCCGAACAGCACTGTTGACAGAGCCATACGCAACCATTCCTACTGAACCGTTTGAAAGCTGCAGGCGTTAAATTTGTGCAAACTTCGTGGTACCATCCTTTGCACTCATCGCACTGCATGCCGCTTTCAACAGGATAACGACAGCCCAGGCGTTGGCAATTACTTTTTTTGCACTGTCCAGTCATTTAAACACGGGTTTTTTTTAGAAAGAACTAGATGCAAAAATACTCCGGGACAAAAAAATAATCTATGACCAAAAAAAGTGGAAAACTGTGGATCGTTAGAACCAAAAGTACTAGCAGATACTATAAAAAAAACAGAGTACTCAAAAGTACTGACAACAGAACTACTTTAGAAACAAAAACCCTGATCTAATCGAATACTTTAACTGAAAGAAACTCAATTAAAGTGAAAAACAGTAGTTTTGATACGTATAGACGATCTGGTGTACGTTCAACCATTTGTCTCTTGTTTGGAGAGTCGGTAAATATTCTCTCATTCATCTATTCCAGAATGTGGTAGTTAATCTTTGAGCTTCTTTCCATCTTTTATTGTATAATAACGTCTTATCCACCGAAGCATCGTCGAATGATAATCCTTTATCAATAAACAACAACTTATTCGGAGTAAGAGCCTCTAGGGTACCAGGATCGCCTGTTATTTTAACCAGACGTCTATTATTTAGTATCCTTCCTGCCTCGGTCAAGAACGTTTGTAGAGCTCCATCGATCAACACGTTTTGAAATAAAAGCACTCTTGGAATTCTTCTAATTGATCTTATGATGCGTTCCCGCACACCACCTCGATGACTTGTCCTATGTGGGTTGAAACGCCATTCACAACCTCTCTCAAAAAGGACATTTGCTATCTTATTCTGATTGCAACTACACATGATCCGTCTAAGAATAGTATTGGCTCCTGTAAAGCTACCAGATGCACCCTTATTCTTATTCACAACTCGTACAAGAGCGCCTTTCTCGACACCATCCTCGATACCACGGCGAATATGTGCTGTATGCTTCTTCAGAGTCTTAGTTACTGGTTTCTTTGTTACAGTGGCCTTCAGTCTTTTCGTAGTCTTGACTTTCAGTTTGGTGTCCGTCTCTTCCTTAGGCTTTCCTAGAGTTGATTTGGGTTTATTAGCACAAAGTGCTTCACTTTTTGGCTTAAAAATCTTGTACTTGGTTACTAAAAAGGAACAATGAACTTGACGAGAGACATTTTCGGAACGAGCATACTCCGCAACACCACATGCAGATTCTGAGGCATCGGTGGAGCAATGAGTCTGACTAGCCAGTGGTTTGTACGATTCTGGTGACGCTATGCGATCTTCCACAGATATCGATGAAGTACGACTAAATGGGTCTTTAAATTCAGTTGAATGCAATTGTCCAAACTTATCTTCTAATTCCTCCTTAGCCGAGAGGTAATTCAGTACACGGTTGCTTGCACAGGGTTCTCTGTAAAGGCCGAACAGCGTCCAACCCAACAGTCTTGACAGCAGACGGTTCATTCGTCTTTCCGGTTCTTATCTCTTTCATCTCATGTATGCCCGGTGCATTGCACCCAATCAACAGTTTGACGTTCTCATCTTCTACTTTCGGAAAACTTATGTCTTTTAGATGGGGCTAGGATGCCTTTTGATGCGCCGTTGGTACAGTCCTGTAAAGTGCCGGCAATTTTTTGACTGTCAATACTTTCTGGACCTTAACGGATGAAGAACAATCCATCAAGTGCAACTCTAAATCGACTTCTTTGGATACCAACGACGATTCATCACTAAGAGTTTTTAAAGATACCGTTTTTGGTTTCCCCTCGAGGCCTAACTTATCAGCTAGATCACCAACTATGAGAGAGGTGTCTGACCCGCTATCTAGAAAGGCGCAAGTCTGAATAATCTTCTCACCATTTTTTATCCACACAGGCACTACTGCAAATGCTACTGGTCTCTGTTCACACTTAACGCCTTCCTCCGTACAAAGCTGAGTATTAATGTAGGCATCACCATCAGTATTTCTTTGTTCTTCCCGCTTCTCGTGTAACAGAGTATGGTGTCTCCAGCCGCACCCTTCACATCACACGACCTCGGTGATCGACAATTTTTCGCTACATGGTTTGCTTTCAGACAAACATTACATAACTTGTGTCTAAGGACGAATTCTTTCCTTTCTCTAACATTCTTTTCTCTAAACTTTTGACATTGATCTAAAGAATGATTACTTGAGCACTCCAAACAGGACAAACTACGTAAGGCAACATTGTCATCACTAGTACTCGCGTAAAATATCCTTGCTGCATTGTAATCTCCGCTAATTTTCCCTTTTAAAACACCAACATCTCTATTGTCACTATTGCTACCGCGGTTAACAAGTAGGCCGTATCTAGTATTAGCTATATCAGCTTGTTCCTTTACAAACTCAACAGGATCAGCAAAAACAGGCTCTGGACCTCGTCTGATAATCTTATAAGCTACCTTTAGCCACTCTTGTTGAATGTGCGTTGGTAATTTCAGAACCATAGTTTCGATAGTTCTAGAAGAGTTCAAATCAGAAACGTAACTCATCTGTTCGAGAGTCAAACCACATGCTTGCATTTCTCGAGACAGTCTTCTCAAACCATCTGGTTGATTCCTTCTTATAATGGGAAAGTTTAGCAAGTTGTCGATAAATGTGTTTTTGGCCAAACGTTTCTTCTAAAAGCTTTAGGGCTTGACGATAACCTATCTCTGGTTCTAGTATAGTACAATGAAGGATATCGGCTTTCGCTTCTCCGTCGCAATATTGAATCAAGTAATTTAGTTTAGCTCTAAATCCAATACTCTCATCCCCAATGCATTCTTCGAAATTTCTAATGAAATTCCAATAATTTGTCGGTGTACCATCAAATCTTAAGACTTCTCTTTTTGATAAATACAGGGTTTTTAATATTGTATTCTCACTGTTGCGTACTGATTGGCCAGGACCTTCACATCCCTGGCGGCGTAACTTTTCTAGTTCAATTCCCTTTTCTAACTGGGTTATGCGTAACCTAGCTAACTCTAGTTCTATCATAATATTGTCTTTGGGTTCGTTCTTTTCAAGTTGATCCTCGTCATAAACTCCCAAATGATAGTGTGATAACTCTGGAATCTCGTCGGAATCGTAGTATTTATTGGAACTCATTTCAGTAAGTATATCGAATTTACTGTTCGAAACCTTGTAGGAAGCAATTTCCTACAGATGTAACTAAGCTATTCTCTAAACTGTCGAACACAGAGTCTTGCTTTAGCCAAAGTCAGAACAAGTAAGCTATTTGGCTTTATAAACTTTATCTGTTTCTAAAACATAAATTACACACCGTTAGTATACAAAATAAACAGTACAGTCTATTAACACAAGGAAAACAGAGACATAATTAGCTTACCGAACAGTAACCAGAGAATAGTAAGAAATGATTCAGCAAGGCGAATATTGTTTCATAATGAGCATAAAATTATGATTGGTGAATAAACAAGGTATAGTCATACAAGGTCAAGAAAAGTTAATGTGGTGGTGGGTGTTTCACTTTATCATTGGTGTGTTCGTTTATCGATCACACTTTACACCCACTCAACATCGAAGCAGCACTCACGGACGTCCCAATCGATGTTGGCCCACCAGTAATTGAAGAGACAGCTCACAGACTCGTTCGAAGTAAAGACGGATGTCAGGAAAGGTTGCTTACTATCACCCTTTCTCTCTCTCCTAGTGGTCGACTGAATTATGAAGACGTCAACATCTAGGGGGAAGCATT